GCATGCTTGTCTGCTAGAATTGTAGCATGGTTGGCTGCTAAGATCGTAGCATGCTTGGCTGCTTGGGTTTTAGCATGCTTGGCTGCTAGGATTGTAGCGTGCTTGGCTGCTAGGGTTTTAGCATGCTTGGCTGCTAGGGCTTTAGCATGCTTTGGTCAAGTTGTGTACTGCATTGCCTGTTTAATGGCACTGGGTGCTTATTTTGCTCGTGTTGCAGTTGGTGGAGATTCAATATAAGTATGGCACCGAGTGGAACTCTTCAAGCTAATGTCAGTTCTAATACGAAAAAGATATAGTATTGAATAATATCCCGAATGCGGTCCAAGTAGAAACGAAAGTAATACACCTGTAGTCCTCACCAATACGTTCGCCTGATCGAATACTCAGCAATGATCGACCTGATCTGCACAGGTGATATCATGTGTATCAACATTTATATTAACATCTTTTTATATCCCATATCAACATCTATTTATATCACTTATATCAACATCTATTTGTATCACTTACATCAACATCTAATTGTATCACTTATATCAACATATATTTATATCACTCATATCAGCATCTATTCATATCACTTATACCAACTTCTATTTATATTACTTATTTTAACATCTATTTATATCACTTATATCAACATCTATTTATGTCACCTATATCAACATATATTTATATCACTTATATCAACATCTATTTATATCCCGTATATCAACATCTATTCATATCACTGATATCAACATATATTTATATCACTTATATCAACATTTAGGTGGCGCAGTTGTAGAAGTACACAAGTTATGCTCTGCATAGGTGCCATGAACGCGGTTGCCACACACACATGTATGTACACTCCCAGGTGATATGCACTGCTTTATGACTGACAAAAGGGTGTCCGCAGGTGTTTTTTGAGCATTTACAGCTGACACATGCGTTCATACAGGTGATTTCCGCGCATGTGCAGCTGATATAGGCATGCACGCATGTGGTCTATATGTATGTACAACTGGCATATGCAAACACACAAACGTCCACACTCTGTTCAGCTGACATAAGCGTTGTCACAGGTGGCCAGACTGTACTTCTTACTTTTCAGTTATTGATAACATGTAGCATTCTCATTGAACTACCTTTCTATTGGTTTCTAGGTATAATGCTCCCCTATTATATAATTGACACTGATGTTTTATTTTGCGTTGTTCGTGAACATGTAGTATAGGTTTTTCAATCTATATTCGTTACCATGTAGTATTGTAGTATCCACATAAATGAATTTTCAATTAGGATTGTATTTTTTATTAGTTAAAATTTGTTACCATGCAATATCCTTATTGATGGCTCTTTATTTAAGACTGTAGTTTTGATTAAATAATATTCGTTACCATGTAGTAACCTTATCTATGGTTCTCTATTTAAGACTGCAGTTTTTATTAGTTAATATTCGATACCATTTATTATCTTTATTTTTGGCTCTCCAACTGGGACTGTAGTTTTCATTAGATATTTATTTGTTACCATGTAGTATCCTTAACAATGGTTCGTTTTTTAATTGGGACTGTAGTTTTGACTAATAAATATTCGATACCATGTAGTAGCTTTATTTTGTATTTAAGTTAATATTCGTTACCATGAAGCATCCTTATTAATGTTTTCCACTTGGGACTGTAGTTTTTATTGATTAATATTCGTTACCATGTAGTATCCTTCTTAGTGATTCTCTATTGGGGACTGTAGTTTTGATTAATTAATATTCGTTGTTATGTAGTAACCTTATCGAGGATGCTCCAATTGGGACTATAGTTTTTATTTGTTAATATTCGTTACCATGTTGTAACCTTATCGATTGTTCTCCACTGGGGACTATAGTTTTTATTAGTTAATACTTGTTACCATGTAGTATCCTTATTAATGGTTCTTTAATTGAGACTCTAGTTTTTATTAGTTGATATTCGTTACCATGTAATATCCCTATTAATATTACTTCAAATGAGGCTATAGTATTTATTAGTTAAAATTTGTTACCATGCAGTATACTTATTAATTGTTTTCTAGTTGGGACTGTAGTTTTTAATGATTAATGCTCGTTAACTTGTAGCATCTTCCTTTAATTGGGATTGCAGTTTAAAATATTCAATGTTAGTTAACATGTAATATCCTTATTTACGGTTATTTAACTGTTAATTTTTGCTAACATGTTGTACGTTCATTAATGATTATCGGACTGTTGTTTATATTTTCCAACATTCGGTAACAAATAGTATCCTCATTAATGGTTTTTTTAATTGGGGTTGTAGTTTTCATTAGTTGATATGGTCAGCCAGTATTATCATCATTAATTGTTTTTTAATTGTGAATGTAGTTTTTCAATCAATATTCGTTAACGGAGTATCCTCGGTAATGGTATTCAATTGGGACTACGGCTTTTAATAGCTAATATCGTTAAAATTTAGTATCTTCATTAACTTTGAGTTGTGTAGTATCATCATTTAAATCTTTTCATAATCCTGATACTTGTATATTTTATGTTCTTTTATATCCCTTGTAGTTCAGCCTTTATCTTTTTCAGTTCGTTAACATGTATTCTCATTCAACTATTTTTATAGTCTTAATACTTGTATCTTCTACGTCCGCTAATACCTTTTACTATTGAATCTGTAGGTTTTAAATTTTCATTAACATGTAATTGCGACTGTGGCTTTTATTTCTCAGTTTTTGTTAAAATGTAGTATCCTTACTGAACTACATTAACAGTCTACTTGTATCTTCTGGACTCTATTCTATCCTTTACAGTTGAGTCTATGGTTTTTGATTTTTACTAACGTAATTGGGACATTGATTTTAAATTTCAGTATTCGTTAACATGTAGTTTCCTTAGTTAACTATTTTTATTTCTATTTTCCAATATTCGAAAGCATGTATTATACGGGTTTCTAGTTGGGACTGTAGTTGATATTTTTAAAATATTTGTTGACATATAGTTGTATATCCCCAAATAACGGGTTTTTAATCGGGATCGCAGTTTATATTTTCCAATATCCGTTAACATGTAGTCTCCCTATGAACGGTTCTTTAATTGGAACTGTAGTTTTTATTTTTCAATATTCATTAACATGTGGTATTCTTATTGGTCTGCTTCTCCAGTCGTGCTCAAATATATTTAGAACTATGGGAGTCAGTATAAGTTAGTATATTTTTTAGGTTCCCTTATATCACTTGTAGCTGAGTCTGTGGTTTTTAATTTCAGTGACATGTATTAAATTGGGACTATGATTTCAGTTTTCAGTATTCGTCAAGATGAATCTTCGTTGAACTACTTTTCTATCCTTTTGTTACTCATGAATTCTAGGTTTTACTGAGTTCTTGATTATCTCCTGTATCCTTTATACTTAGACTGTGGGGTTTTTTTTCTTCTGTATTCGTTGAACTATTTTTCTAGTCCTAATACTCTTATATTCTAAGTTCTTCTATATTATTTATAGTCTGGACTGTGGTTATATTAATCAGTATTTCTTAACATGTATTATCCGCATATAGCTGCTTTCGTAGTTATGTTATATGTATATGTACATCTATATATAAAAATATATATTTCGACTTATATACATATATATGTAAAGCTACTTACATACTCTTCATACTCCTCTATTCTGGATTCTCCTATATACTCATAAATCTGAACTGTGTTTTTCTTTCACAGTAATCGTTACCATGTAGTCTTCCCATTTAACTGCTTTATAGTCTGATATTATATACATACATATATGTATTTTTAAAATTACATATTTGTACTCATGTACATAAAAATAAATATACTTGTATATTCTTTAATACTCTTATGTTCTAGGTTCTCCTATATCATTTATGAATGAGACTGTAGTTTTTATTTTCCAGTATTCGTTAACATGTAGTATCCTTGTTGAACTACCTTTCGAGTCTTAATACTCGCATATCCTACGTTTGTTGATATTCTTTATAATTTGATTCCAGTCCCTATATTCCTTTACCATTATAATCATGCGGTATTTATTTCTTCTCATCTCCAATCCCATATTCAGATTTTTTACCACAGGCCCAGTGATGCTGGTTAAAATCTGAGCTCATTCAGGCCTCATTTCAGATACACAGCTGTCGTGGGACTTCCTCAACAGCAGAGAAAACCATCCTGAATTGCCTGAGTAGATTAACCTATTACGGGCTCACAAGGGTACATTCACACACCACGCAGAAGGGCTAAACACAGTTTCTCAGTTACAGTCGCGTCAGTGATAATTGTATCTCTGCGCTTCTCCGTTGTGTTTCAATGCAGCACTAGCCGTGTATATAGTCAATACACTATCCTCCTCAAAAGCTACCGCGTGCGGATAATGTACTTGCCACTGCACCGACTGAATCGGGCAACCGTAAGGAAACCTACACCCGAGACGACTCCTCAGGCAGACAGTTCATCTCAAGGCGAGACACTTGCTGTCTTCATCCGCATTGCCTTGCCCCACATATTACGCGTTGTGGCGCCACAGGGGTACCGAACATCGCGGCCACTCGGACTCGTACGCTTACGCACGGGTTTGTCACCATTAGTCTGAGCCTCATCACCGTTTCCGTCAGCCGATTTCCCCCGCACTCCTCTGCCTCGCGTGTTGTTGGTGCCTCTCCCACGACCACGTGGTCTCCCCTTTATCGCACGTGCTCTGGTGCTCCCTACCGCCTGTGTGCCGCCTGTCCGTCTCACCCGTGGCTTGCTTGCCCTGCCATGCGCATAGGCACTGTAGCCCAGCACTTGGCCTGGCTGGTACTCGTCGCCGCTATCGTTGTGGTCATCTACCTCACTGTCACTGTCGCTGTCACTGTCACTGCCGATCACGCTGTAGATATCTCTCTCACTCTCATTGTTGTGGCCGTAGTCGCTGTGAGCCGCGGATGTCTTATGGCCCTCGTCCGCTCTCTCTCCGCAGGTATCGGTTGTGCGGCAATCCTTCTCATTCGCACTGCTCTCGCTCTCTCTGCTCTGCGCAGGGCCGGCATGTGCCTCACCTCCGCCGCCCTCCAGGCTGACATTGTCTTGCATCACACGCTTCTCCACACCTTGTGCAACTGCTTCAGTCTTCGGTCGCTTACTCCTCGCACTATTCGTGCTGGGTACTGCAGCCTCAGCTTCACCCCGTCTCGCTTGGTACTGTCCGCTATCGATATCGGTGGGGCTTATATTGTCCTCGATACTCTGCCCACCATACTCGTAGCCATCCTCACCGTCACCGTCACTGTCACTGACCTCTCTGTAGCTGACAGCCTTGCGCTTCCTCGCACGACTGGTTTCTCGTGTGGCCCTCTCTCGTGTGCGCTCCCCGTACTTTCGTGCGAGCTTCTTCCCCCGTGGCCTGCGCGTACGGGTCATCTCTGGCCCAGAGTACCCCCCACTGCCACTCAGCCCGTCGCCGTGGCTACCGTCTCCTCTGGCATCGTCACTGTATCCAAACGCACTACTGCCATGCTCGGGTGTAGTACTAACCCTGACCTTGCCCTGCCTGACCCTGTCCTTGTTGTGTCTCGTACCACGTCCCCTGTGTGTAGGGTTAGCCTTAGCCCTGGGACCATCCATGGCACTGTGCCAAGCCGCTCGCGTCGTCGTTCCCCTGGGCGGGAGGTCTGCCACTGTCGCACGCCGTGTGCGGTGCCTCTCCTTGCCCCCACCCACACCCCCCTTCACACTCGCACGCTTCTCCTTCGCAGACGCCTGGGCTCCGTTCTCATCAAGCGTGCCCTTACATGCGGCTTTGGTTCGGTGGGTATCTCTGCGGTGTGTGTGCTGTATGCGCTCAGTTCCCTTGGGTGTCATGGAGCGCTGTTGAGTGCGTGTGCCTGCGTACTCGCTATTCCAAGCGGCGCGAGTGGTTACATGGGGCACCCACTCCTCTGCCCACTCAGACGCGCTCCCAGTTCTATTTATAGCACCTGACTCCTGCTTCGGATACCTACCTCTGGGACGGCGGCCCTTGCGCGCATCCTCGCCGTCCGATCCATCGGCAGTCTTAGCCGTAGCCTCGTCGAGTGCAGTGTTCGCTGATACGCTCACGCCAGACAATCGCCTGTCCTCTGCTGCATGTACCGGACTGACTCCTCGCGCTGGCGCCAACGCGTGCTGCTCACCCGCTGCAACGGTCGTGTGCGCACTCTCTTGTACCGCACTTCGCGTCGTGTCCATGCCGCACACCACTGAGGCGAGGACATCACCTGGCTCGGTTTGCGTGCGAGCCTCGCCCCTGTGCGTCTGAGTGTCCCCTGTCGATTGCACCTCCGTATCAGCCATGGCCACACACCCCTTGCCAGGTGGTTGTACGTCCCCCTCTGTTGACAGTCCAGTAACTGTCGATACCTTCTGTGACGGCTTGTGCTTGTGCTTCTGCTTGTGTACGGCTGATTGTCGATGTGTCTGTGTGTGTTTCGTGTCTCCCGTGGGCCCGTCCTCTCGCACTGGCTGGTGTGCTGTAGCACTTCCCAATGCACACAGACTCCTCCACCCCGCCCGAGTCGTGCGCCCCGTACACCCGCGCTCTCTCCCCACAAAGTAGTCTTTCTCCATGCCCTCCCCTGGCGTGTCTTTATCCGTGGACGTGCGCTGTGTCACATTGGCAGTCTCCTCAATAGACTCGTTGTTCGCTAAAGTATCCGCCGCCGAATCCGCCGATATATTACCAGGCGTGTTGCTAGGCCCACTAACAGTCACATGCGTTGGCGAGCTGTTCGAGGGCTTCGCCAGTACATGCTTCGACGTAGGCCCTGGTACGTGTTCTTGTATACTGCCTGTAGGCCCTGGCATGTGTTCTTGTATACTGCATGTAGGCCCTGGCACCTGTTCTTGTATAGTGCCTGTAGGCCCTGGTACGTGTTCCTGTATACTGCCTGTAGGCCCTGGTACGTGTTCCTGTATACTGCTTGTACGCCCTGGCACGTGTTCTTGTATACTGCCTGTAGGCCCTGGCGCGTGTTCTTGTATACTGCCTGTGGGCCCTGGCACGTGTTCTTGTATACTGCCTGTAGGCCCTGGTACGAGTTCTTGAATACTGCCTGTAGGCCCGGGTACGTGTTCTTGTTTACTGCCTGCGGGGTCTGTTCGCTCGCTCTCAGCCGCAAGAGCTGTCACATCATCCGACAACTCCCCAGTCGTATTATCCGATAGCGCCCCGACGGCCTCTGATCCCACTTGCACCCCATTCTCGGGCGAATTGCTAAACCGGTCCACTGACGACTTCGCGGACAACTGCCCACCCACGTGCACCGGTGTATCGGCTGACGCGTGTCCTGGCGAGGGCACCTGCGCCTTCTCCGACAGGGCCACCAGGACACCTCCGGAAGTGCCATGAGACGGGCTGTACAGCAGCTTCGACAAGTGTACGGGTTGTTTCTCTGGACTTATATCCGACATTTTGACCGACGGGTTTGCTAACGTCTCCCCTGGCGATCTAATCCACATGCTGCATGAGACGTTCTCTGTGACAGGCTCATCGCTGTCATGCGCTTTGTCGCACAGGTTGTCCGACAAAATGTCCGACGATCCCTCCATGTCGTATTTCGCAGTCGCTGCCGTCATCGGGGGCAAGGCTGCCCATGCGCACTCTGGGGTGCTCTCCGAGGTGTGCCCCACCATCTGGTCAGACACACTGTCGGATATACACCGGGGCGTGTAGGACATTATATTGTCTGTCTCATTCTCCCACGTCTTCTCAGGCACGCACTCTGGCCCCTTCTTTCCCGCAGTATCGTATTCGTATGCTCGGTCCACCGCGTCGTCCGACACTCTCTCGAGTGCAGCGAGTTCTGTCCTGTCGACTGACTTCTCGGAAACCTTTTGTACCGAACTATCCGACGATTGGGCCACTTCGGGAGTGCACAGATTGTCTGATGCGATCTCCGACACGACGTCTAATACGACCCTCGACGACAAATCATCCGCTACGCCTTCCGAGAAATCCCCGTCCACTTTGGCGTCCGCGTTGTCTCGCACATTCTCCATCGCACTCTCCATCACACTCTCCAACGCATTCTCCATCACACTCTCCTTCACACTCTCCATCATACCTGTAGCCACGTCGGGCGACCCAACACCCAACACCTTCGCATTGGCGCTGTTTGCCCTATCACGCGTGTGTGGGCCAGTTTTGTCCTCGGCAGGGCGGACCGCTACGTCTTTGCGGATAGCACTCGCGAGTATCTTCTCACGTCTTTCTTCGGAGAGGGGGTGTGCTCCAGTCTCCGTATCGGGTACAAGGATAAAGCTCCCAGTTGTGGCACGGGTGCCCCTACCGGCACCACCGAGTACTGAACGTGACTCAATAGACGTCTGTGCGGGTGTGGTGATGTTGGTAGCAGAGTCTCCCGTAACACAAACGCTCGCTTCCTCTGCTGGGCATACAGATACATCACCGTCCCAATCCACAAGCTCGGGGTCTGATGCTTCACAATACGCCGTCGCGCGGGTGTGTGCCCGGACATCCTCAGCTGCGGGGGCCATGCCATCCCTCTCGTTACCATGAGTCTCAGGCTGTAGTGTCTCAGCGGCATCCTCTTGCGTGTGCCGCCGTGTGGCTGCCGCTGCGTGCACCTCCTTCCCACAGTCCTCCGCTGTCTGTACTACCGAGTCACCGGTGTCCCAACTCAACAACCGCGACGGTAACTGGCCGTACGGCAGCACGGTGACCTGGGCCACACCAGGTGCATTGAGCACCCAATCAAACACACCCTCCGAACTTCGGGTCTTTTCTCCACCATCCCCCTGGCAGGGCTGGTCCAAGGCTCCTTCCGTGCCTTGCGCCCACACCCCGTCTCCCGGCGGTGGCTGATTGATGGCTTGCCGTTGATGGTCTGTCCGGCTGGTGTCGGCCGCCCCGGTTTCCTTTGCAGGGCCGTTTTGCACCTCTTCTGGGATACTCCAGTCAGCAACCGAGCGCACAGGCGGCGTCATGTCCCCCTCCCGATCCGCTAGGATGTGATCTCCGGCCTCTACCACGGTATCCGTTTGAGTACAGTCATAAGCGTGTTTTGTGTCGCTGCCATCGTTTCGCTCGGCACTCAGTCTGTTAATCGCATGGCTCGCACGCACCACAACATCACCCGCGCCCACTGCCAATTGGTTATCAGACACCTGTGCACAGCCTGACGGACCTTTCGTCTCAGCCTCTTCCATGCACACATCTGCTTCACCCTTCACAGCCACATCGACGTACACATCTGCTTCACCCTTCTCAGCAACATCCATGCACACATCTGCTTCACCCTTCTCAGTCGCCTTCGCAGTTTCAGCCTCACTCTCCTGCGCATTCTCACCCAACGCCATACCACCGACAGGCCCTCCTTCAGACCCCCTGCGAGGCCCTTCTTCAGACCCCCTGCGCGCCACCGCTGCCGATTGGTGTGCGTGCACCTCTAGCCTTGACATCTCGGTCGTCGGCGTGTCCGTTGTTGGCCCACCCACAGTAGGTCTGACACTGCCCATGAGCGCTTTGCTGAGCCCCAACACCAGCTCAGCGTCGTGTACAGTGGGTTGCTGCTCCGGTACCGCCGCCGCTGTGACTGACGGATGAGTTCTCTCACTCGTACCAAAGACGCCCTGCGTGCCGCACTGGAGTGGCCCAGTTTCTGCGTCCACCTGCGCTGGCGCCTGCCCTTCCCGACCCACACTCGCATATGTCTGCATATACAGGTCAGGTGACCTTCTCACGCCCCTTCCAGGCTCTCCGTACCCCGGTGTCCCGTCTCTGCCTTGGCCGTGGCTGGGCTTCACACTCCCATGTGCCAGCACACACTCCGTTTCCCACTCAGCCGCATCGTCCTCCACCGTCTCCGCCACAGGTATGGCCCTGTCGTGTTGGGGTGAATCATCAACGCTTACGGTGTCCCCTAGACTTTGTATCGGTCTGTCCTGTCCGGGTAGCCCTGTGCGGTTTGTAGGGTGTGCCAGCACATGGTCCGTTTCATGCGTCTGTGTACGCATCCGCTGGTGTGTCAGTCTATCGGCTGCCGTACGCTCACGGCCACCCACTCCTGCGCCTACCCCTGTCGGCACATGACCACTCATCCGGTGGTACGGCAAGTTGTCGTACCTGTTGTCCCCAGTAGGACTTTTCACACGCAGATGGGCCGCTCCCGTCGGATACTCCCCCTCGTCTCTGGGTTGTGTGACAGGTTCTCTCTCCCGCTGCACCTCATCGCAGCCAGCCTCGATCAGGGTGTCGTAGCTGCGCACCGTGGGTGTGTCGGCGTGTGCATGTGTATGCACACTGGCATGTCGACATACACACACTCTCTGCTCACACACGCAAACCTCGACCGCGCTGTCGTAGGACAGGAGCGAAGCGGTCCTTTCGCGCACATCCCCCCGTGACGCCACTCCTAATCGGTGTCTCGGGGCCTTCCCTGGTCCCACTTTGATCCCGCTTTCCGTGCTCAAGTGCCAGTGTGCTGAACCGCTCCTAGAGCCACGTGACGAATTACGGTGTAGATCTACCATGCTGTGTGACGGTGTTAGTCTATTAATAGATCTGCGGATGTCATTTGGCATCCCTGCCCTGAGTGAAGGAGAAGATGATGGTATGCTTCTCACGCCGATATAGCTGTGTGCTGATTGTGGCCGCGATTGCGCCCGTTGCTGATTGGTTGTTACATGCATTGATGTATTCTGATTGGTCCCGTGGTGTGAAACTGGTGACTGTTCCCGTTGTTGATTGGTTGATACGTGCATTGCTGTATTCTGATTGGTCCCGTGGTATGAAACTGGTGACTGTGCTCGTTGTTGATTGGTTGTTACATGTATTACTGTATTCTGATTGGTCCCATGGTATGAAACTGGTGACTGTGCCCGTTGTTGATTGATTGATGCGTGCATTGCTTTATTCTGATTGGTCCCGTGGTATGAAACTGGTGATTGTGCCCGTTGTTGATTGGTTGATGCGTGCATTGCTTTATTCTGATTGGTCCCGTGGCATGAGACTGGTGATTGTGCACGTTGTAGACTGGTTGTTACATGTAATTCTGTATTCTGATTGGTCCCGTGGTATGAAACTGGTGACTGTGCCCGTTGTTGATTGGTTGTTACATGCATTGCTGTATTCTGATTGGTCCCGTGATATAAAGCTGGTGCCTGTGCCCGTTGTTGATTGGCTGTTGCGTGCATTGCTGTATTCTGATTGGTCCCGTGGTGTGATACTGGTGATTGCGCCCGTTGTTGATTGGTTGTTGCGTGCATTCCTGTCCCTGTATACTGATTGCTCCCTTGGTATGAAACTGGTGACCGTACCCGTTGTTGATCGGTTGTTGTGCGCATTTCTGTATTCTGATTGGTCCCCTGGTATAACCCTGTATTCTGATTGGCTGATACCTCCTGGACCGAATGACTATTGGCGTTGTCAGTAGCGTTGCGTAACGTGCGTGTTGGCAGTGTTTCATTGGCTGGCGAGCTCCGGCCCATGGGGCTACGGCTCGATACTCTCTGTAACCGTGTAGGGACCGTCTCTCGTCGTGGCTGGGTTTCTTGGGACTGTACGTGCTGTTCTCCCCTGTTGTGTGCAGCCTGGTACGGGTATGTACTGTAAGCACCGGCCTGTGAGTTGCTATCTGCATCGCCTGGCGTATACTTACCGCTGTGCTCCTGATCGGCCGTCTGTGGGCGCCCTTCTCCATACGCCCGTGTATCGCTATGCGTCACATACTCCCTCTCCCGCAGTCCAGCGCTATGGACTGAGATCTGCGGACTACTACGCCCAGCAACAGCACAACGTACAGCCTCTGCCGAAGGCCCATCTCTCGCACTGCGCCGAGACTTCACACTACCACTACCATGCGAAAGACTACGCTCCGCAATCAGCGTCCCCGTACGCGTGCTTGGCCGGGTTGCTGTAGACACCCTTGGCGTTGTGGTGTGCATGGTGCGGGTGTCTGTGCACATGCGCTGTGTCTGCGCATATCCTCGGGTGTCTGTGCTTGGCCCTTGCGTGTCCTTGTAGGACCGTTGGTGTTGTTGGTGTCGCGCATAGCTATCCAGGCGCGCGTCTGAGTGCGCCGGGTGAGGTTGTGGCACGTGCACACTCGCGTTGTACAATCGCCCCCTGTCCCTGTACGACCTCTCACTGTCCTTGTACGGCCTCTCCCCGTCCTTGTACGACCGATCCTCCTGCGGGTAGACACCTGGTGAGCGTTCCCCTACTCCTCTATCAACATCAGACCTACCTTCCTGACGCATACGCAGCTCCCGTTGCCGTACCATAGGCCCCTGCTCAACCGTGTGCCTCTCCCACGGCGGCCGTGTGTGGCTCGGCTGAGCATAGTCCCTCCTATAAGTGCGGACATGAGGTGAGGTACCTATGATCTCGATCCCGCTATTGGTATTCCGGGACGAACTCGCCATATCTACACGTGCGTGGTTACCCTCCACACCACTTGGGTTGCCATGCCAACTGTCCGAGTAGGTATCCCTCTCATCTCGCTCTGAAGTTCGGGATACTTGGTATGGATAAGCCGAGGCGTCCTCGCTCCCATAGCCCAAGACGTGTACGCGGGTGTATGTAGGTCTGGTAGTCACTACCCTGTCTGCCACCTGCTCCGCACTTTTTGGACTGTCATACGTTGCACGTGCTTGGCACGAGTGCAATATTTCTACAGACGATGAATTACTACCACCACCATCTACCACCGACCTTCCCACTCGAGCTTGAGCAGGCGCGTACGCCGGGCGCACCCCTTCAGCCATGTACGTAGGGGTGTATGTGGAGGACTGTGTGCGCTCAAGCATACTCATACGCCCACGCCCATTTCCACTCGTACGGCTGCTTGCATCGTCCTCGCCGTACACGCGATCGTTTGTGTATGGGGTGATGTGCCTCCATATACGGCTGCTATTGTGACTAGGTCCGTTAGAATCGAGAGCACTCGACTGTGTTCTGCCGTCTGGTGCTTTGTTGGGTCTAGCAGTACATGTCTTCCAATGGCCATGCGTTTTCCAGTCGGTAAGCTGGTGTGATAGGAAAGAGCCAATACAAAGTCAGAGATGACGAGAGATTGGGTAGGATGTAGTCTGGTGTTTAAATTGTCCAATGATATTGTAGAATAGGTGTGTCAAATAGACTAACTATAAAAAAATGCAATCTCACACTGGCATATAAAAATTAGATCAATATCGAGAACGAACGTTTTAGCAGACTATCGATTAATGGGCACCGGGTCAGGCACAACTCAATGACCACACAAAAAATTCATACAAATATAGAACCATACATACATACAAACATATATATATATATATCAAACCATCGATTAATAAGCACCGGGAACGGCACAATTCAATGACCACATAAACAATGCATTCATATCTAAAAACATACATACATACAACTATACATATATAAACACATGAATATATATATATAGGTATATATATATATATACCTATATATATATAAATATAAATATATATATATATATATGTGTGTGTTATGTG